TCAATGTTACAAAACAAAAATGCCCATGTTCAAGTCTTAAAGTCATCCTGAGGCCTTAGTTTTGGTTTCAAATGACACAACATCATGTATGTGTTGCTTCTTTGGAGCTTGTTTTCATAGACCTGGTTGCTTATTTCTCTCAAATCTGGCAACAGAGTGGGCGCAGTGTCTAATTGTAGCAGTAAGCTAACGAGTACTGAAAGCTTTATTTTGTTTTGATCCAACGCTGCACAACTGAACTGATCCAATGCTGCTGTGAAAGAAAGAAGCTATATCCATGTTGGATAGAATATCCAATTTAAATAAAAAAATAACCTTAAGGGACAACTTGAATGCTTTTTTTCTTTTTTTTCTCTTAATGCATTGCATAAAGATCGGATCGGGAAAAATCGGTATCGGCAAATTGTCAAAATCAAATGATCGGAAGCAAAAAAAGGTGATCGGGACATCCCTACAAACCATGTAACCTTTGCACGTCTACTGAACATGTCAATAAGATGCTGCCTTTGTGTTATCTTTGGCAGTTTGAAGACGTCTTATTCCAAATATTCCCTCAGTGTTTGTGTGTTTGCTCCACATGTGAAGACGCAGGAAGATTAGGCAAATCATGGATTAAAAAGTGTCTCTGGGTTTTTAGACGGATCTCCGAACAGCACAGTCATCGTGGTGTTTCTTTGGGATTTACTTTGAAGGGATGTTGGAAAAGGAAGATCGTACAAATGCGTGTAGGAGGCGTGTGGCGCAGTGCTTGGTGTTCGGTATTCAGGTTCAAACCCCACTGCGTCTAACATGTAATATAATGTAAATGCTGGACGCTGCTCAGCACGATGAGAACACGACGGGTACTTTATCAGGATTTTTGTTCAAATGTTTATAATAGAACAACAAGACACGACAGTCAGCCGTGCGACTGCTGGTTTCCACGCAGAAGAATCTCTAGAAACAATATACAAATGACTAATATGTTAGATATAATAAAAGAAAGTACTTTCCCCGGTGCGTTAACTCATCTTGCATTTCAAAAAGCTCATCAAACACTGGCAGATAAAGTCCTGTGCAAAATGCCAGGTTATCATGTTTCTGTAGTTCTTTACTTTATTTACAACTTCCCTTTCCTTCCTCCGTGTCGGCCCAAATCATGAACTTTGGGAAGCAGCTGGATTTGTGGCACTGAACCCTAGCGCTATCCCGCATGAAAAGCTTTCAGTCGATTCTGTTCTGCCAAAACTCAAGTGAGAAAAAATGATGAATGAAGTGTAGTATTATTTCAGTGTAGATCAATAGTGTCTGGCTGATCATTCTGCTAAGGTTAATAGTCACTCAAGTATTAGTGAATGCCTTAAATCAAAGTGGAAGAAGCTATTAAACTAAACTTGAAATTTGAGTTTTAAAATCGCAATTAAACTCCCAACATTCCACGACTACTAAAAGTATAAATGAAAATCATCACCACTCCTTCCCTGTGTATTCATAAGGCATTTCCACAGAACCGTTTAGTGGCTTCACACTTGATTGGCTCTCCTCCTACAGTAAATGTTAACATTGAGGAATGTGGACACCTTGGTCTGTGTGTGTGTGTGTGTGTGTGTGTGTGTGTGTGTGTGTGTGTGTGTGTGTGTGTGTGTGTATGTGTGTGTGTGTGTGTGCTCTTATCAAGAACACTGACGAGTCATGCAGAAGGCATCCAGTGTCACAACGCAACAAGTCCGAGCAGAGCAAACAGAGAGTGTGCAACTAAGACCCTGTCATTAAACACACACACACGTACACAGCTGGCAACTTCCACTTCAGTCCGCTTACTGCAGGGTGTGTTACGACAAAGACATGAGCTGCACCACATTTCAGCACTTTAACACACACACATTTTTTGCCGGCGTCATAAAATATTCATTCCTGTTCCAAACATTTCTGCATGGATACCATATTCACATACATGTTATAAGGAATAATCAGTTTTCTGTACACACACACACACACACACACACACACACACACACACACACACACACACACACACACACACACACACACACGTAACTGTTCAACGTATTGGAATGTGATTTAAAAAACAGGCTTTATTAATACTATTTGACAGCCAGGTGGATTCACTTCTTTACCGACTACATACACTTTCTACGTTGGCTCAGGGTTGAACTCATGGGCCGACAGAGGAAAGTGATGACAGCAACAGTGAATGCTAAAGTGCTACGTTACCACTCTGCAGAGGTGGGGAAGTATTTAGAGCCTTTTTAGAGCCAGTTAAAGTACTAATACCATGCTGCAATAAAAACGAATTACTTCAGAGAAAGTATCCAAGTATAATAAGAAACATGTACTTTAAATAGAAACGGTGAATGTCATACTAATATATATTATAGCATTACATTATTATACGTCAGGACTTCTGGGTTGTAAACATTTGGAACTATTAAGGAATATTTACTTTGATTATAGATTCCTCTGCTGATTGATTTCCCAACTAATAGATTGATTGTTGTTCCTACACTTAATCAGGGTATCTGCAGGAATCCTGAAGTCAGATGTAAAACCTTTTAAGACCTTTTTTAAGACCCTTTCCATACATCTTAAGAACTCATCGTCACTTGGAGTTTTAACCGGTTACCTTGGCGACACACTTTACCTCACATTGACTATATACAGTATTGATTGTCCTTCCTCCTTATCTTCCAACCATTTGGACGCAGACTTGCATTTCCCCATAACGATGTTTTTTAACAACCGGCGTAAACGGGCCTTCGCGCTATCAAGCAGTGAGCGTGCAATGTTCTGTTCAGGTGACGTCAAATCCAACGGGATGCCATAAATAAACTACACAGAATCACACTACACACCTACGCAATGATTACATTCAGGCAGACTGTAGAAAACAACCTCTTTGGACAATTTATATACTTATTGAAAACAAGCTACAAAATGTAATACCTTGGAAAATGCCGTTTAATACTTTTTAATAGCCTTCATTTTCGCTAAATTGATTTATCAACTTTTAACACTTTTTAAGACCCCGCGGACACCCTGTTAATGACAAATGTATCAATTACCCAGAGCCCAAATTGACCCCTTCAGACTCTGGTGTTGCCCAACAAACCGTCCTAATATCACCATCATTACTTATCAATCACAAGTATTGACATGCTTTAACTTCTTCACGCTTGAAATGTTACTACATGAAAGATGACAAACTATTCATATCATTTCAGATTAACTTGTTATAACTGTTGGATATTGTTAATTCAATGTTCATTTAAAGCAAGGGAACCGTTTTCATATGGCAGAAATCTTAATGTGTAAAGTGAGAAAAGCTGTGAGATGAATAGGGCGGATTAGAGTAGTAGCACAACAATAAACCTTTAAGTGAACTTAAGTAGAGTGTGTCGGGTAGTTTGCTCCTTCTCCAACAGACTGATCCAGCTCTGATGTCACAGGAGGACAGATACAGGAAGTCATTCGTGCCAACTGCATTAACACTGAACAACTATTCACCTATGACTGGCAGAACAATCACTGCTCCATAGTTTGACCAAGACTCTCCACAATTTGCACAACTGTATTTTAAATGCTATCCCATGTCTATAAGTCTATGCTCCTTAAGTTAATGTCTATATTTCTGGTGCTGTGGTATATTGGGCTTTTACAGAACATTCTAACTTATGCAGGATATTTTATAATGTGTATTATTTGTGGTATATTTCTTATGTAAATATTAAATATATGTTATCATGTTTATACTTTATACCACCTTTACAATATTTGAATGCCTGTCACAAAATAATCAACCAATTTGGGATGAATAAAGTATATATCTACTTATCTATTAAACTTATAAGTGGACTTAGTTCTGTCTTGTTTTCAATGTTGATGTGTTTCTATTTTATGTTTGTTTATTTTCTACTCTTTTGATGTTCACATTATGGGCAATGCCTTGTTTTAAAATGCCGCTGAAACGAAAACAATCCCATTTGGGGATTAACTGAATCTTATCCTATCTTTTACCACCAGCCACTCTGACAGCGATGTGAAGCTAACTAGCTCCAGCTAAGGGCTAACTAGCTCAAGCTAACTGTAACCGCAGCACATTCCGCTATTCCTGTCTGCCCTATGGCTCTACCATGTTAGCTTAGCTACTTAGCATGCTAGGGTACAAACATTTCATTCGCCGCAAACGTTAGCGACCATTTGACGTGCAGTAAATATATATATATTAATACAAATGTCAATATGAATTGATAAGATGGCTGATTACAGCTAAAATGCTTTAAGTTAAACAACGTCTCCGCTTGCTGTTGTTGTTGTTGTTCTTAGCTTAGCATAAATCAGTGCCAAGCTAACATGCTAACCTGGAGCTCGGCCCTCTCCACTTCCCAGTGCGCTCTCTCCATCTCGAAGCGGGCCCACTCGTGCTGGATGTAGTGCAGGATGCCGGGGATGGTGTACTGCTGTCGGGGCATCTCGTCCGGCTGGTGCGGCACCATGACTCCTCCACCACCTCCATTATTGCTCCCTGACTGTGGAGGTTGTCTCTGGGATCCGACCCCTCCTCCTCCGCCGGGGTGCTCATCCATGTTGTTTTTTTTTTAGAAAAGTAGAAGGAAAGTCCCAGGCAGCAAACGGTCCAACTGAAATGATTCCCGCCCGGTCCGGTTCCCCCCCCCTCTCTCCGTTAGAGTCGGTGTATCCGCTCCGTGTGTGTCGCTCCGCCGCGGTGTGTGAGGCTAGCTGCCCCCCGGAGCGCGGTGCGGTGAGAGCGGCTGTTTGCGGACGGTGTTTGTGTATGGCTCTAACCGGCCGCCATTACTGCTCTCTCTCGCTCTCTCTCCCTGGATCATTACGGGAGGGAGAACCCAGCCGCGGTGCATGACGGGAAGGTCAATCCAGCTTTTTTTTTCTCGGTCAGCCACTATGGAACCTTTAAGGAATACAAGAAAGCGTGGGAAATCTTACCTGAATTCATTCAGAGTCTATTATTATTATTATTATTATTATTATAAGATAAGAACAGATTTATTGATCCCCGTAGTAAAATGCAGGTGTTATAGCAGCAACAGAATAAGAGAGAAACACACATAGTACACATGAGAATATACACACAGGGATGATAAGAATAAGTAAGATAAGAATAAACACGTATGAATAGACCATAGACATTGAAAAAAGAACATAAGTAAAACTCTGATAAGGTGAATGTACATATATACAGAAGAAAATTAACACAAGACCAATGGTTGGATCATGTTACAAAGAAACACAGCAGAAGTGTCATTTTTGGATGGATGGCCCTACAGTAGAGAAAATGTGGTAAAATAACCTTTGCCCTGCCCTCAGACAGCCCACCAGGCTGAGGACCCCCCATGTATTTTTAGTATTTCTTGCTTTTCTATATTCTTGATAATGTGATAATGTGATACAAGTAAAACATGTATTAGAGGCATACAAAGCACATGTTACAAATATTTGCAACACAGAATCAAAACAATGCAGTGTACGTCTTAAACAACACTATCAAGGAAAATCAAGAGAAAAGGGCTTCACACACACACACACACACACACACACACACACACACACACACACACACACACACACACACACACACACACACACACACTATCGACACACAAAAG